TAGGTTAGGTAGAGTAAATGCATTTCGACTTAAAATCTTTTCAATTTCTCAAGAGGGAACTCCATAATTCAAAAAAGATTTTTTACAAGATTCTTAAGATGCATGAACTAAGTGAACACAGACTGAAAGTTTTCTGTTTCCTGAATTCTCCAGCAATTAGCACAGTGACAGGCTGAAGCAGGTGTTGGACCAACAACTCTTTACAACACACCAACCCTGTTCCAGCACTTACACAGTTCCAACAGCCAAAGGAGGCCAATAACCAAGCCAAGTGTTGCCTGCCATCCTTTTCCTTAGCTCTATCCCTGGCTTCAGTATCATCTATAAAGATCCATCAACAAATCCCCAGAGTCTTCTCAAGGAAAAAGAATTTTATCGAAAAAATCTAAAATTGGGTTTAGTGCCTTAAAGAGATGTTAGGGACAAACAGGCTGGCCACAGGGGGTTGTTATAGAAACAAATCAAAGTAGGCTGCAGGAGACCCAGATACAATTCTATGAGTCTGCACAGATAGATCATAATAAGGATAAATTCATACATACCAGAGACAAGGGGGGATGGATTATTAGAGCCCAGCTATTCAGTGCCAGACCCAAGAATTGAAACCACGGGCTTTTCTGTGCAGTTATATCACACAGGATATGTAATTATATCAACCACACAGCTTCTGCCTCCAGATCTTCTTAGGAGTTTTAATCTACATTGGTCACTGTCACCTTTTAATAGTGCTGTCTTATATTCGATTTCAAATTCTAAATGATCATTTAAGAGGCAGAACAGCCATTTTTGCATGAAAATTGTTGTTTCCTGGTGAAGTGGTGGAAGTTGCTGGTGGGTAATCTGAGGTGTCTTCCAAGAAAGATGTTGACATTCTCCAATATTGTGTGTTACAGTGTCTTCAGCCAGAATGGACTCTCTAAGTCAACACAAGGGATCTGGAGGCACAGCTGTTCCAGCATCAGGTCATCCCTCAGTTATCTGACATTAAGCATTTAAAATGCTTTCCTTATGCTATCTAGTAAACAGGGCCACCTTACTATATATCGTCTAAGAATGCTTTTCACCATCCTCTGAGTTGAGATGTAGGATCTAATACTTCAGATGCTAATCAGGACATAAGAAAAGACACAAGTACCAAGGTAGTTTATAAAACACATATCTTGCAATGTTTTGAGGTAGAGAATAACGTAGTGCCTAAGATCATGATGCCTAATGACAGGAGATAAACACACAAAGAGAAAAGGTGGCAAGTGACGAGCAGATGCATCCTGTCTCTCTCATTTCTATGCCCACCTCATAATATACAATGTGAGTGCTTAGTGTTATGTTGGAAAGCGACATAAATTTACAAGTACACTGTAATGCAGAATGAAGGGGTTTCTTGGAGTCTATACATGTCTTGGTTAAAAACATACTCTTGAAACAAACATAAGGCTGTGCTATGCTAACTTCTTTATAGTTCTCTAATTTCCCATGGTAGCATAACATAGACTAGCTTCTGTCTCCTTTCAAGTTTACTTAAGTCATTTGCCCCAAGGAACTTCCGAAGAGTTCTGGTCTCAGGGAGCACTTCCAGAATGGGCTCCTCTTGGTGACCATTCCTTTCATGGGAACACACCTTAGGGACTGGCCCTCATAGTATTTAGAGCTAAAATGCTGACCACTGGAGTCCAGCTGGTAAGAAGAGTAGCCCCAAAGCTATGCAACTAAAGAACTTTTTGAGGAATATTAATATGTAGGACCTAGGGTAATTTTCTAGCTCTTCCCTTTTCCTGGAATATTCTTCCCCTAGTTATCTGAAAGGCTACTTTCCTCACTTCTTTCAAGTTCCCCCACCACATCCTGCTTGTTCAAATGAGGCTTCTGTAATGACCCTGTTTAGGTCTGTAACTTGAGCTGACCCCACATCACAGCATCCCAGCAACCCTACTGTAATGTTTTGTTGTTGTTGTTGTTGTTTTTCCCCACAGCTCATGTATACAGTATATAGCTTATTTATTATATTTATTTGGTATACCTTCACTAAAATTTAAGCCCCATGAGGGGGAGAGGATTTTGACTATTTTGTTCTCTGAGGTATCACAAACATTAAACATAGTGCTTGGCACGGTCAATGTACATTTATTGAATGGATGAACACGTCTCTTATAGCACAGATGGTAGAAGGGTAAAAGCCAAACTGCATTCTGATAGTTTAAAAAAACACTATGAAAAGTCACAGAAATGTACATTTTCCTGCTGGGGAGAAATATGGTGAATTAGATTGCTTAATGTATAGGAATTGCTCTTGAATTCTGGGAAAAGAGAAATGGGCATTTTTGTTGCCTAATAGATTTTTGCTTCCATTTTCCTTGTTCACAATGAATTTTAATCACCAATGTCACACTAGAAATAAAAGTTAGGACACAGTCTTTATGCTTTCCTATGGTAGAGGCCACAGCTCAGATTTCAGACAAATAAGAATGCAGCGAATGTTAATCCTGTTGTTATTTATGCATTCTCCTGGAATCAGTCGCTAACACATCATTCTCCCAAGGAAACCCTGGTTGGTATTCAGTGAGTTTTCAAGGACTCCTATTTCCTACAAATTCACTATTTGAGCCTGTTTTTTAAAAATGTCAGATTCAATAACATTTCCAAACAGCAGAACTAGAGGGCCAGGTTCATTGCCAACAAAATTTGTCAGACCTATTTTCAGATGTTAAGGTTCAATCAAATGAAGATCAATAAAGAAATTCATCTTGGGCACATTTTGAATTATTAACCTTCCATATTATTTTGTTAGAAAACATGATACATATAAACAAACAACTAGGCATATATACACCCTTATCTGGGTATGTGTCTTTACTACGACTATCATGAAAGTAATGGAAAGAATATTGACTTTGAAGCCAAACAGACTTCAATTCAAATCTGAACACTACCAATTTGCATTACTTTTACCACAAAAGTGCCCCATTTTGACGATAAACTTATTGTTCTTCTAAATAATCCTTGTTAAATCTCTGACATAGTTATTGGCTAACAGTAGGTACTCAATAAAAGTAATAATCCATTATTTAACATATGTAGATGCAATTCAACCTTCTTCTGATCATCAGAGAGGAACTTCTCTGACTCCCAAGGGAATTGTAATAATTTTTAACAAAGAAAAGAGAAGAAAAAAATGGAGTGATGTCTATAAATCAACACCTGGAAGAGGTCACTAGCCATTCCATGAAAGGAATGAAGAAAAACGAGATCAATGTCAAGTTCATCATTAAACCCAGATTCTATTTCTGGAAGCCTAATATTGAGAACCCTTCTAAAGTATGCCTCCATAGAGAAAAAGATTTCACATTACCCAGAAGAAATAATTCCCTACCCCCATTAAATTACTACAGTATGCCTTCCAAGGAAAGGAGGGATTCTCCTTCTGGAGGAAATGAACACACCTGCAGACAGCAACAACAAGGGCTGCCATCTTTGTAGTGCCTCCTATGTGCTGAGTACTGAGACTGACATTTTACATACCTAGTCTGTATGTAGTCAATCCTCAACACAGGCAGCATAATTAGACACATTTTACTGAAGAGGGAAATGCTTTAGAGAGGTTGTATAGCTCGCCCAAAAACACACAATTAATAAATGATGGTGATGTAATTTGAATCCATGTCTCTCCAAACTCAAAAGGAACAAAAATCTCAGGCTTTATGTCATTTCCAATCTCATTCTTTCCCTCAATATCAGTGCTTTTAAAGAATGGACACATCCTCAACACCACTAGGGAGAATTCTGTGAGATAAAGCTAATCTGTAAAGCATCATAAACTACACCTACCTCCTCTGCTTTTGAGGTATGAAGTGATATGAATCTAAGGGGTTATCTTGATAAAAAATGAACGATCATTAGTTGAATCTACAATGATTTCAATGGTGAAGTTGAAGAAGTGAGTGGCTAAGACTCTGACAACAGGAAATTACCTCTTTATTCTTCCACCCCTACCCCACCCCATATACACATTATTTCAGGTATAAGGAATAGCTAAGCCAATCAACAATGCCTGTTGAATGTGATTAATCGTTTGATTCATTTCTACAAGAAGCTATTTTTTTGCCTCATTTTACTTTTCACTGGGGAAGTAATTCTCAAATCTTACAAATTATAAGAAACTATAGAAAAGGTCTATCTAAAATAGCTACATATTTAACGGATAGAGTTCAGGGCAGCTGTCCAGCAGAAATTACCACAAATTTATTCCCAAAATACTTCTGAATAGCTAGCTAGCCCCAAATGACTTCTGTCATTATCAGACCAGGACTACCATAAGCCAACAATCCAGAGAAAAATACACTGGAGGCCTTCACTATACATACATACATACTATGCTATACATACAGCCAGGCAAAATATAACCAATATAAAAATATTAAAATATAGCTACTAATCTAGGTCAAGCCTTTTCCCAACATCCTCTGGCTCTTTAGGGACTCTATTAGAAACAATGCCATTGGGTGGCAGGAACCTTTAGAGACAGAACTGCATTCGAATCAAGGTGTTGCCACCCACTATCTATGTAACCTCAAAAACTATTTAATCTAAGCATCAATGGCCTCATTTGCAAAATGAAGATGCTATGAATAGCTTCTTAGGTTGTCATAAAATTTAGGTGTGACATGTCAGGTAACAATAACTAATGGTTATTGAGCATTTACCATATGCCAAGAGCTGGATGAAGTGAGTACTGCTAGTAGATGAGTAAACTAAGAAACTAGACTTAAGTTACTTGCAGAAATTCGAAAATTCAGAAAGTCACAGAAATAGGATTATAGCCCAGGTAATCAACACAGCCCATGCTTTTAACCCACTGTGCTATACTGCTTAGTGTAGATCTCAAAACTGAGGAAAGACTCAACAGTTATGAGTCACAGCTACTGTTATTATTGTTAATATCCCTACCCCACATAAAACGAGGTTATATAGAACACTGAATACTCATGCCAAAGAATATGCCATACCTGGGGCATGGCTGCAAGAGTTCTTCAACAATGCAGGCCTCTTTCTCGAGAAGTTCAGGGCATTCCTTTCCACCCCCAAGAGCAATGTGCTTCACATTCCGGCTCCGGCTCCTAAATCCAGGTGAGAGACTTCCTGAACGACACGTCTTGGAGCAGGGGCTCCAGGAGGACCATTCAGTGGTTTCACAGTCTTTTGGCATGATGCAGGACTGGATAGTCAAAGGGAAGGAGTCTTGCATGCAAAGGCTGAAGGGACAGAAGCAAAAAAAAGTAGGGCACAGATTAAACGGATGCAACCAATATTATGAAGTGCCTGTTATGGAAAAGAAAACAAAACTGAAATTTGATATGAGCTTTCAAATAGGATTTTAAAAAAATGTTAGAAGCATCATGATAAAATAATGAAGAATATCATTTTAAGATTGTATGCTCTATTTTATCTGAAACTGTAAAGTTATTTCACTCTAGCAAGATGCATAGGTAAAATGAGCCAACCATGAACTTTGTCTGAAGCATTATCAAAAATAACTGAGGCTGAGGGAGGAGGAGCAAGATGGCGGAAGAGTAGGAGACCTAAATTTCGTCTGGTCCCAGGAATTCAGCTAGATAGGGATCAAACCATTCTGAACACCTACGAACTCAGCAGGAGATCAAAGAAAAGAATAGCAGCAACTCTCTGAACAGAAAAGCGACCACTTTCTGGAAGGTAGGACACGCGGAGAGGTGAATCCAAGGTGATATTTGGGAAGATAGATGGCAGGGGAGGGGGCCTCTGTCAGCCGCTACTGGCAAGTGACAGAGCAGCAGAGCACAAAATCAGAACTCTGGGGAGTTGGCTCCGCTACACTGAGGAACGTCGCTCCAGTGGCTAAGCGGGGGGGGTGGAACCTTCGCTGGGAGAGTGTGGTCTCAGGACCCTGAGTGCGGCAGAGCTCCCAGGTATGGGGCGAGGAAGCTCGCTGCAGAGATGGAGCCGAGAAGTGGGCTCTCAGCTGGGGTTGCCATAAACCGTGATCCACGGCAGTCGGGCCACTGCTCTTCCAGCAGGGACCCAACAAATGGCAGATCTGGGGAGACTCCCGTTCCTCTCCTGGGAGGAGCGGCGTGGAAGCGCACCGCAGGGATCTGCTGGGTTTGGACACTCCCATGGGGCTGGGTGCCAGAGATAGAAATGCTCGGTCACAGGCCAGTTAGCACGGAGTGCAACTGGAGACCAGGGAGATGGAAGTTACTGACTGCTTTTCTCTAGGGGTGCACTGAGGAGTGGGGCCCCGAGTTCTCAGCTCCTCAGGGGCAGGGATTGGGAAGCCGCCATTTTCACTCTTGTCCTCCAAAGCTGGATTGAAAGCTTGCAGGGAACAAAAGCTCCCCAGAGCAAACCCCAGCAGATTACTTAGCCGAGACCGGCAAGAGCAGGGCAATTTCGCCTCCAGCAAAGACATTTGGGAACCAGGGCAACAGGCACCCCCCCGCCCCCCGCCAGAAGATCAGCAAGAACAGCCAGCCAAGACCAAGTTTACCTATCAATGAGAAGGGCAAAACTCCAACACTAGGGGAATACCGCACATAGAATTCATGGCTTTTTCCCCCGATTCTTTAGTCTTTCAAAGTTTTTTTTTTTTTAATTTTTTTTCTTTTGCTTTTTTTGAATTTTTTTCCCTTTTTCAACCAACATCTTATCAATCCCTTTTTTAAAAAACATTTTTTTTTCATTTTTAGACTCATATTCTATCCCTTCATTGTACTTAACATTATTTTTTGTATATATATCTAAGTTGTTCTCTCTTTAAAATTTTGGGATACACTTTCTTCTAAAAGACCAAAATATACCCTAAATCTCTAGTGTATGGCTTTGTTCTACTCTCCTGCCTGATCACACTCTCTCCATTTTTTTTTTTTAATTTCTCTTCTTGCTTTTTTAAACCAACTTCTTGTCTTATCAATTCCTTTTATAAAATCTTTTATAATTTTCATCTTTACATTTAGATTCTGTCCCTTCATCATATTTACCCTTATTTTTGTACATATATAAGTTTTTCTTTCTTTAAAATTTTGGGAGGTAGTTTCTTTTAACAGACCAAAATATGCCCAAAATCTAGTGTGTGGCACTAATCTATTCACCGCCTGATCATATTTCATCATATCGTTTTTTTTTTTTCTTTCTTTCCCTTTCTATTCCCCCCCGGTAGTGGGTCTCTTCTGATTTGTTTAGTGTATATTTTTCTGGGGTTGTTGTTAACCTATTAGCATTTTGTTCTCTCATTCATCTATTCTCCTCTGGACAAAATGACAAGATGGAAAAAATCACCTCAATAAAAGATCAAGAGGCAGTACCGACTGCCAGGGACCTAATCAATACGGACATTAGTAAGATGTTGGAACTAGAGTTAAGAATGACAATTATAAAGATACTAGCTGGGCTTCAAAAAAGCATGGAAGATATCAGAGAAACTCTTTCTGGAGAAATAAAAGAACTAAAGTCTAACCAAGTCAAAATCAAAATGGCTATTAATGAGGCGTAATCAAAAATGGAGGCTCTAACTGCTAGAATAAATGAGGCAGAAGAGAAAATTAGTGATATAGAAGAACAAATGATGGAGAATAAAGAAGCTGAGAAAAAGAGAGATAAACAACTACTGGATCACGAGGGCAGAATTCGAGAGATAAGTGATACCATAAGATGAAACAATATTAGAATACTTGGGATCCCAGAAGAAGAAGAAAGAGAGAGAGGGGTAGAAGGTATACTGGAGCAAATTATAGCAGAGAACTTCCCTAATTTGGGGAAGGAAACAGGCATCAAAATCCAGGAGGTGCAGAGAACCCCCCTAAAAATCAATAAAAATAGGTCAACACCCTGACATCTAATAGTAAAACTAACGAGTCTCAGAGACAAAGAAAAAATCCTGAAAGCAGCTTGGGACAAGAGATCTGTAACCTACAATGGTAGAAACATTAGATTGGCAGCAGACCTATCCACAGAGACCAGGCAAGCCAGAAGGACTGGCATGATATATTCAGAACACTAAATGAGAAAAATATGCAGCCAAGAATACTATATCCAGCCAGGCTGTCATAGAAAATAGAAGGAGAGATAAAAAGCTTCAAGGACAAACAAAAACTAAAGGAATTTGAAAACACCAAACCAGCCCTACAAGAAATATTGAAAAGGGTCCTCTAAGCAAAGAGAGAGCCTAAAAGTAACATAGACCAGAAAGGAATACAGACAATATACAGTAACAGTCACCTTACAGGCAATACAATGGCACTAAATTCCTATCTTTCAATAGTTACCCTGAATGTAAATAGGCTAAATGCCCCAATCAAAAGACACCAGGTATCAGATTGGATAAAAAAACAAGACCCATCGATATGCTGTCTGCAAGAGACTCATTTTAGACCCAAAGACACCACCAGATTGAAAGTGAGGGGATGGAAAACCATTCACCATGCTAACAGACATCAAAAGAAAGCTGGGGTGGCAATCCTTATATCAGGCAAATTAGATTTTAAACCAAAGACTATGGTAAGAGATGAGGAAGGACACTATAGCTTAAATAAAGGGTCTAATCAAACAAGAAGATCTAACAATTGTAAATATCTATGCCCCTAACATGGGAGCACCAACTTATATAATCCAATTAATAACAAAAACAAAGAAACAAATAAAAACAATACAATAATAGTAGGGGACTTTAACACTCCCCTCACTGAAATGGACAGATCATCTAAGCAAAAGATCAACAAGGAAATAAAGACTTTAAATGACACACTGGACCAAATGGACTTCACAGATATATTCAGAACATTCCATCCCAAAGCAACGGAATACACATTCTTCTCTAGTCCCATGGAACATTCTACAGAATAGATCACACATCCTAGGTCACAAATCAGGTCTCAACTGGTACCAGAAGATTGGGATCACTCCCTGCATATTTTCAGACCACAATGCTTTGAAACTAGAACTCAATCACAAGAGGAAAGTTGGAAAGAATTCAAATACATGGAGGCTAAAGAGCATCCTACTAAAGAATAAATGGGTCAACCAGGAAATTAAAGAAGAATTTAAAAAATTCATGGAAACCAATGAAAATGAAAACACAACTGTTCAAAATCTTTGGGATGCAGCAAAGGCAGTCCTAAGAGGAAAGTATATAGCAATACAAGACTTTCTCAAGAAACAAGAAAGATCTCAAATACACAACCTAACCCTACACCTAAAGGAGCTGGAGAAAAAACAGCAAATAAAGCCTAAACCCAGCAGGAGAAGAGAAATAATAAAGATCAGAGCAGAAATCAATGAAACAGAAACGAAAAGAACAGTAGAACAGATCAACGAAACTAGGAGCTGGTTCTTTGAAACAGTTAAGAGGATTGACAAACCCCTGGCTGGACTTATCAAAAAGAAGAGAAAAGACCCAAATAAATAAAATAATGAATGAAAGAGGAGAGATCACAACCAACACCAAAGAAATACAAACAATTATAAGAACATATTATGAGCAACTCTATGCCAGCAAATTTGATAATCTGGAAGAAATGGATGCATTCCTAGAGAGGTATCAACTACCAAAACTGAACCAGGAAGAAATAGAAAACCTGAAGAGACCCATAACTATTAAGGAAATTGAAGCAGTAATCAAAAGTCTCCCAACAAACAAGAGCCCAGGGCCAGACGGCTTCCCAGAGGAATTCTACCAAACATTTAAAGAATTAATACCTATTCTTCTGAAACTGTTCCAAAAAATAGAAATGGAAGGAAAACTTCCAAACTCGTTTTATGAGGCCAGCATTACCTTGATCCCAAAACCAGACAAAGACCCCATCGAAAAGGAGAATTACAGACCAATATCCCTGATGAACATGGATGCAAAAATTCTCACCAAAATCCTAGCCAACAGGATCCAACAGTACATTAAAAGGATTATTCACCACGACCAAGTGGGATTTATTCCTGGGCTGCAAGGTTGGTTCAACATCCGCAAATCAATCAATGTGATACAATACATAATCAAAGAAAGAACAAGAACCATATGATCCTCTCAATAGATGCAGAAAAAGCATTTGACAAAGTACAGCATCCTTTCTTGATCAAAACCCTTCAGAATGTAGGGATAGAGGGTACATACCTCAATATCATAAAAGCCATCTATGAAAAACCCACAGCCAATATCATTCTCAATGCGGAAAAACTGAGAGTTTTCCCCTAAGGTCAGCAACGCGGCAGGGATGTCCACTATCAC